CCACCCTCATGTTTCCCCTTTTTTTAAAAATAAAGCAAGACTTTATGAATGCACTATAGCCGGTGAAAAAGTGCCTTAGAGCGTGTAACATTTTTATAATTCTAAACGTATTTACTCAGTTGTGAGGTCAACAGTTGACGCGTCATAATCATTATATTTTTAAGGGGTCACTACACCAAAAATTTTTTTATTTTTTATATTTACAGACTTAGAGCAGTTATTTTATAATGGCCATTTGTAGGGATACATTTTATTACATTTGTATGCTTTAAGTGTTAAAAAATCATAGTTGTCATGGCAATAGCCGCCATCTTGTGAAAAAAAAAACAATATGTACTTAGAATCCTTAAATTTTAAAAGCAAACATAGGTATTCAACAATAGATACTCTTTTTTAATTTCCTCTTCCTCCACCTGCATCTTCTTTCTACTAAATCGGTACATAGTTGTTCAACCAAGTTGCAATGATGTTTGTTTTTTTTTTTTTTTGGGGGGGGGGGGAAGAAAATGAACTATAGTAATAACCTTGACTGAAAGCTGGTCTGCGGGCCCGATTGTCGTTGCTATCAGTACGCAAACGATCGTTTCTCCCCCTCCAAATAAAATTAAAAAAACTACATTTAAACGTCGGCCTTGCTTAAAATGGTACCAGAAAATGTCCTAGAAGTAAAGAAGACCAGTTTTTTACATAACCCACCAAGTATCGATTTATCTAGCAATAAACCTTGCATTTTATTCCCTATACCCTTGAGCGCGTGGTAATGATCCTTCATGTTTACAAACTTCGACATTCCCTTCTTTGTTCAACTGCCTGTTGATAGTTCCTACCGCGTTAAACGAAATGAATCATCACTAAGTTCTGAGACGCATACTCTATCGTACAGTTATGCTTACTAGCTCACTATTCAAAAGTTGGTCCTTCTCTGATGATTAATCCGTAAATAACAAATTATTCAAAACAAAACGTGTGCATTGACATTTTGGTTTGTTTTCTTTTTTTTTTTTCTATCTAGGGTTATCGATCTCTGATTTGTGCTGCCTTATCACATTGATGTGTACATGTATTCTATCAGTCCCAGCTCTTATGAATGCAGATTTGTCATTTGAGAGTTTTGAAGTTATGTACCTCGTGTCAGCATTACCACATTTAGATTTCATCAGAGTGAGCAGTTGTATCACAGCTATGATTACGCTGCAAAAGTGTATAAGTGTAGTAGACCCGTTAAGAGTAAGTATTCGTTGTTTGAAAATACAGTGAAGCCCTCGCCATAGATCTAAATTCGTACCTGTAATTTGTGTGGGAGCCGAGGTGTTGAAAGGAAGAAACAAAGAAAAGGGACAAACATTAAGGGGAGGAAGCTAGGAAGCTTTGCAATTAGTTTAAATATTTATTTATCTGCGGCGTCCGTGGCTAAGGCGTTGCGAGTCCGACTCGTGCTTTGGGGAGGAAAGGGGGGGGGGGGGAGGGGGGGAGCGGAATAGGCGAGAATTCTACGATTCTTTTTAAGCTAGCTTTCACAGTGTACCATTACAACCAAACTGCACATTAGAGTCAAACCTGTGTGATTATTATTTGTTAACAATTGTGTGTAAGTTTATGTGGTGTTTGTGTGGATTCTAACGACAAAATACATATCTTATATATAATTGTGTGGCAATGTTCCCACAAAATATAATTATCGGATACGCACTAGAGGAAGAAAGGTATGGGTACAGCCACAGCTACATCTTGTCCGCCTATTTGTTTAACTAACGGGGAGAAAAAGCAACAATTAAAATGTAACTCGTGAGTCAAACAAGTATATAAAAAAAAGTATAATTATATTGTACTTTCCTAAATAAATACAGTGTGCTACATCAGCTACGGTTTCGTAAAAATTAAAAACATGCAATTCTCTTCAGTGCAAAAAAAAAAAAAACGCCCTCAGTAATATTTAGCCATCATGACAGCCGTTATTAAACAAACGAAACATAACTTATACAACCAAAGAACAGACTACCTCTGTTTTTTCTGTCAAACTTGTTACAAAAAATAATTGCGTGTTTACATTATGATCACAATTATGCTGTTTTCTACTAGGTACTGGGTAATTACATACCTTAAAGTTTGTGCTAGTTGTTATAATTAACACTAAATGCATCTATGTAGTTTCCAACACTGCTCCAGTTAAATACATTTGTGTTTATCAGATCGTACATCGCCAAATATAAAATGAATTGTAAAATTGTCAAAATATACTCGAATTCCCTTATTTGCGAATATAAATTTCAAACAGCAAGCAACATGCATGCCATTTCATATATTTACTTCATATTATTTCTATTCTAACAAAAAAAAGTAGAGTAAAAGTAAAATTCAAAAAGGTATGATTCGGATTTGTCTCCTTCGCGTGGTGGAGATAATACAATCAATAGTACTTTAAATTGTAAGTGCCTGTATTGCTCGTCAGAAAAGGCACCGGAATCCAGCAAAACGAATGGCGTTGCTAGTTAAAAAAAAAAAAAAAGTTGCTAATTGTTTATTGTTAATTTTAAAGCTCATCTTTATCTCACATAAGACATGCCCATAATTGCTCTGATCTCTTCCTGAGCATGTCTTCATTTGTTTTTAGGCCAACAACTTTGCCATGTTGTTCTTGTTAATGCAACGACATGGCTTTCCTGTCTCACATCTCAAATTGATACACACAGGGTATAAAGCCTATTAAGCGAAAAATTATTTTTTTACGAAACTGAAAGCCTTACTAAGCTGACCGTGGGCAAATCTGCTGAAAGAGCTTCGAGCTGGCTCTGGACGCAACGGCTCCGTTCTTTTCTTCTTCTTTTTTTTTTTTACACTGAACGTGTAAAACGTCAAACATTAATCCTCAGAAGAACATAGTTCAAATTACCAGAAGGCATCAAGCTCGCTTTTCTGTCACTGGCAATTGACGTCTCCCTCTTCTATGGACTGTATCGACTTTCTCTGAATCTCTGCATCATTCATCTAAGGAAAGAGCCTCCTCCCATTCTGCTTCGATGGTTACTACTTTTTTGTCTTCTTTTTAAAAAAATTCTTCTATATGTTTTTGTTTCCTAATGTGCTGGCATTTGTAAGCTTTTGTATTTTACAAAATAAAAAATCAGCCTTAAGAACTGTTGGTGGCAACCTCTAACATGCCAGACAGGCATCTTCTTCTTCTTCTTCTTCTTCTTCTCCCCCCCCCCCCTATTTCTCCTCCAAAATATTGATTTTTGTTACTGTGTCAGTACAAAATGATACTAACCAAGTTGTTAGGCTCAAGTTTTTCTAGACAAATTCATCTTCAGTAATTTGCCATTGCTTACTAAACGGTCATGTATATATTGCACTGTCTAAAAGAACGAAGCGCGGTCAGCTGCCTAATCGTATGCAGCTATGATTGATCCCGGCATTACGTAGCACGTTTGAAATGCATGAGCCACTGACGCTACCTGAGAAATGAGTATTGGAAAATGTCATGGAAAGTGAAGGATTCTGTATAACATTAAAATCGACGTAGCCTACCGACTAAAACATTACAAGCTAACGTCATGCAAGAAGGGGCACGCCTTCTGATGCTGCAATAAGTGCGAGACGAAGTAAAGAGAACAATGAAACATTGACATCAACAATCAAGTACCGAATGATCTACAAAATGTTGGTCTGATGCCACTAACATAATATGTTAAACCAGCAATTTAATTTTCGAATTGAATCGAGGTATGGGTGACAGTTAGCCTGTTCCATTGAATGAGAGCTGATGATGATGATGGAATTTGATGTTAAAGTTTATTTAATTATTGCCGATACAAACAACGCGCCTAATAATGTATTGCCTGACAATATCTCGTGAGGGACATAAGTGAAGAGCCATATCAACAAAGTGAGAGCTGACAGGATAGACTTTATTGCACTAGGTTTGAATCCAGACGCTTAAGGCTTTCTTCCCAGAATGGCTTCTCGTCTGCTAGAGTGCCACATAAAGAACTAACTATGTAGCTCCTTTTAGGATCCTTGATGATCAGAAACATTGTAATTTTGAACCAAACGATTCGATCGTGACATAAACCCATATCCTTCAGAGTGCTAGGAAACGACAGGACCACTGCGCCACGAAGATCTACATCAACAGTCAGTGAAGTACAAAAAGGAATTCATTCATTTGAATGCACAAATCACGATGTATTTGGTTATGTTTTACATTTCTAGATTTTCTGTGATTCGTACAGTACAGCGAAAAAATTTTTTAATTATATTTTGATAAATTTTGAACAACGGATCAACATTATAGCACACGGGTAGTAAACTATGAGTGCTCCGTTCTTCTTCAAATCAAGTCTGAGTCCGAAGAAGCTCAGCACAGTGCACATGCCATGTAGCACTGGCGGGGATCCTGAAATACTTTATGCAGATTTTTACCTCAACTTTTACCCAGGCAGCGCTGTTAGTCTACTATTTTGAATTTCCAACTGCTAAGGGATTGTTTTACAATGCACACGGGCATCTGACCTCACTACCCAGAGACCAGGAAAAATACTAGAAGTCCAAGTCCATGTGAAACAAATCCCAGCTCTTACCGGGGATTAAACCCAGAACCTCTAGCACTCGAGACGGACACCAAGCCTCGAGACCACTCTGTATTAATGCGCCTAGCGAGGTACAGCAATACATGCCAAAAAAATTTTACTATATTTTCTTCGCGTCCGCATTATGCAAGTTTATAACAAAGAAACATAGTTTTAAATAAAATGCAATTGTTGTCTGTAGACTTTCAATATAATGTAAAATAACACCATTTCACAGTTAAGAGGTTAGTTGTGTATCCTTTTAAAGGACATTGCAGAACCAACCCCAGCAGCCCCTGGCTGTTGTGTGGTTTCTCTAGGCACATTTAAGTCCAGTAGTTTGTCATTGCTTTCCATTTCACAGTAGAGACAATAATATTTTCACCTTCGCATTCATTGGGGTATTCAACCAATGAAGGAAACAGTTAAAGTAAGTAAAAGAAACAATGAATAAGTCCCTTTACACGACGAAAGAGGAGAAATCTCTAGGGGCTGCAATAATAGATGAAGCAGTAGTAGAAATATTCATGTATGTCATGGTAAGTGGACTGTGTCAGTTGATAAACCTTTTTGGTATTGTCACAAACATTTTTAATATCATCTGTTTTGTGAAACAAGGCTTCAAAGACACGGTCAACATCTCACTGCTTGGTAAGTAAAGTTGTGTGGCATTATCAGACTGTCATGCTCCTCTAGTTCCTTCAAGCATGATACGATATTGTGAGTATGTATTCTGTGTTATTTTATTACTGCCTCTGATGCAACAAGTGATATAACTTTATGATTGTTTTACTGCAAAAAACACACTGTGGTAATTCAAGGACAACAATGATTTCATTTAAATAGATACGACGAGACGCCTTACAGTAAGTTTCCGTATACCTCACACTCATGCAGGCTATTATCTTTGACTGAACATTAACTCTCTTTTAACGCAAAGTACAAATACATTTCTTCTAACTGTTTGCTGTTTTCTTTTCATGTATATCTCAGCTAATACTCAGATATCTAAAATTTGTTTTATATTTTAATAAACTCTTCTTCCCAACATTAGACTTTCTATATCTGACAAGCTACAGTTCTTATTTAATGATTTTCGGCAAGCGCTACCCTCGCTGGTGCTCTGCACTTGTCATGGGCTTTTTTCCCCTGGCCTCCACTTGCTTTCGTGTTATAACATTTCCTCTCCAAGCATCGGGCAATTTTTAACATCTCTGTCATCAGTCGACCTGAGCATTTTCGGCTCAGTAGGTTCTCCTGTACATTTTTCCTGATTCATTGAATCTTCTTCTTCTTCTTCAGCATTCAGAGCCCTTGAGGTTCATTGCTGCAGATATCACCCGCCTCCATTTATCTCTCTGGTTGGCCCTTTCTTTCCAGTTGGTGACACCAAGTGTTTGCAGGTCTGTCTAGACATTATCTCTCCAGTGGTTCTGGTGTGCCTCGTGGTCTACAACCATTCATCTCCCTGGTGTATACAGTTTTTACCACTCTGTCATCTGATACTCTTTCAATATGTTCCAACCATTTAAGTCTATTAGCATTCATGATGATAGTGATCAGTGGTGATATTAACTGATTATGAATTTCGTTGTTGCTTTACACTCTTCACCGCTGTTTGCAACATTGATGGGTCCAAAGATTCGCTGTAAGACTGTTTTCAAAAACCTGTTGATTCATTAAATGGGAAACCAAATTAATCTGCCTCACATCTCTATAAATTCATTGGAGGAGTGGGTGGTGGGGGAAGGAAGGGGGGATTGTCTGACTAGCGTTTTAATCTATATTGGCCTTATGAATGTATCTTGCCTTCCAACCTTCATGACAGTCACTACTCAACTAGCGACCCTTCAACGCCTCAGAGACCCTGTCGTATAGCTTGCAGTATTTTCCTATGGTAGTTGATTACCCTGTTAGATTTGATTGCCATGGTGGCATTTGTGTTACCAGAACTAATAGCTAATTGCGACCGGGCAAACTATCAACCCAGCCAGACACCTACTCAAAATATTTTCTTCATCTATCAATGTCTTAATTTATTTTTTATTTTTTATTTTTCTTCAACAGTCTGGGCTTATTTGTTTGAATTCTTTGTTCTTGCCTCTCAGGCAGATGCACGCTGACTATAAAGGGTGTCCAATATGGTTGACGTTTATGACATGCTTTTTGGGGAGGCTGTGTTCTTTCTAGTTTTCTTTACAATGGGGCGCTGGAACAAACACAGAGAGAAGCTGGTATATGATGCTAGACCTGTATCTGAGTAAATGATAAAAATTAGCTAAGCTTCATTTTTTTTCCGTTTGGTCTCAATATATTTCCTGCTACGAGTTTTACATGTCCTCAACCCGCGATCCCATTTCACCTTTTATTCTTTTTTTCCCCCCTAATTTGCCCTCAGCGCTGTTTTAAAACGCTTCTTGTCTGTAGGCACGTTTCTTGACAGGGGGTTTTACATACAGTGGTATCTCGGTATACGTCAACTTTGGTATACGCCTGACATTTGTGTTTCGTATTTGACCTTTGTTTAAAAAGCGACACGTGTGGTAGAACTCGAGTGAATCAAAACGAGTCACGACACCGCATGGTACGCTTGCTTGCCTCATTAATTAATTAATTAAAAAGGACTTAATGCACTTAAGACTATGGCTGCAATCGACATAGAGCAGAGAATGCTTTTCACACTTACCAGCACCTGATCCTTTCAGTGGTGGATTATGGTCTGGGACTGCTTACCGTCTCAAAGAGTCAGATGGACAAACTAGAGCGCATACAGAAGGCGGCTATGCGGGTCATTCCGGGTTGCACCATAGACACCACAGTGGTGTGCATGCGATACATCTTTGGTTTGCCGACGGTTGCAGGTAGGCACAAGGTGCTGCAGGCAGTGTCATATCTCAGGGTAGCTGCAGACACAGACCCCCCCCCCTCTGCACGAAGCTCTGGATGCAGCTAAGGGTCAGCGGCTGATAAGAGAGAGGTCATGGATGGCTCAGGCAGAAGACACAATCAGACAGGTTTGCATCCTTGAGAACATTAGGCATGGAGAGGAGTTGGTCAAAGTGCCACCTTAACAGTCAGACTTGTGTAGAGTCATAATCACGCTGAGCCGGGAATGCAGAGACTGGCCAGCAGGTGCCACAGAGGTGGAAATTAAGCAGTTATTTCAAGATAATGCTCGCTCAGAGGATTTGATCATTTACACAGACGGTTCAGTGTCAAGAGGCAAAAGAAAAGCTTGGGGCTTCTTAGCAAAAGTTAATGGTCGACGTTTGGTGCAGGAGAGCCTGGAATATGATACCACAACATCCAGCATTAGAATGGAGGTGGGGGGCGGTAACTGCAGCTTTCCGCTGGCTAGAAAACACGACACACACACACACACACATCTTGATTGTAACTGATTCAGAAACCATGCTGAGGTATGCTTCGCTGCGGAGGACACGAGTGAGGAGTATTATCTGGATTTCTTCACCGGGTTACGCCTGTGTGTTGGGAAATTAACAGGCGGACAGACTGCCTGGCTCGGCACAACTTGGTGGAATACTGATACATGATAAGGCAGATGTGGTTAGTGCCTTGTGGGAGAGCGTGTACAATTCGGAGGAGCAAATGGATCACCACAGTCTGGGGAGATTGATGCAGTTGGAGGTGACGAGAGGTTCTGGTAGATGCTCAAGGCTCAGAGGAAAGGCAAGACGGACGTTTAATCAGAATGCTACTGGCACCATTAGTATCAGAACTCTTCGCTGGCTGTTGAAGATGGGGACGGAGCGCTTATGGGAATGCCCTGAGTGCTGTGACGTCGGTTCTTGAATCAAATCAAATCAAATCAATAATTAATTAGATGTTTGACTAATGTGATGGCAGTACATAACCCAAACAACCCTAAATGAATGGTCTGTATTGACCAGACAATGTCACATCTTGAAGAGAATCCAGAAGCAAAATTCTTTTGACAGACTTTTAGTAGAAGTCAAATATGGTGACCTTTAACCACGAACTTGTAAAAAGGGGGGGGGGGGGGCAGAAAAGGGGAAAAACAGGGAGAAAAAAGTCCAATTTAATTTTTCTGCAGTTTTATTGATTGGCGTCTCTTTTTCATTTGTATTTATTTTATTTACTTGCTATTGTGTGTGTAATTTATTGTTTACAACACCATCATTGTAACATAATGTCAATAACAAAAAGACTGTGTTTTGATAGGTACGAATTAATCATACACTTTTAATTACTACGCAAAATTTCGTTTGGTATACATACTTTTTGGTATATTTCCAACAATCTGAAACGGATTAAGAACATATTCTGAGGGCCACTGTATTTGCGTTCGATTATTATCTCTAAAGAAACCAGACTAGAGGAAAGATTTATCTCTTCTGTATGACGTATACATTTCCGTGTAATTTGATATATATTTTGTTGGCGGTCGTTCCCTCATTAGGGTGCATTTCT